TCCGACAGTGCGGCGCTCCCTCAGCACTGACCCTCCGACAGTGCGGCACTCCCTCAGCACTGACCCTCCGACAGTGCGGCACTCCCTCAGTATTGCCCTCGAGTGTCGGCCTTGATGTTGCGTTCAGGTCTCTGGAAGGGGCTTTGCATTTTCAACTCAGAAGTGAGAATGCCAGGTTCCGAGCAGCTGGCAGAACACCTCTGTCTGTCTCGCACCATGTCAGAGCGCAGACATGGAGAGAGAATCAGAAGGAGAAATGGAACAGACACCAACACTCCCCACCCCACTGGGAACTTTACAAAGGGTTTTCAGCTCCAGTGTCTCTGGGTCAAAAAATGCGAATGGATTTTTCTAACTTGGAAACCAGAGGGGACAGCTTTATACGTCCCATAGTGATCGGTCGGTGTCAAGGGGGGGCTGGAAAATCCCCCTGATCATTCCTTTGGTTTTTTGGGGGGTGCTGGGTTTGGGGTTAGGGTATGGGGGAAGGGTATGGGGAAGAGGAAGGTTGAAGCTTGCTCTGAGAGGACAAGAAATGAAGAAATAACACGCAAAGAAAGACCAAAGACAAACACAGGAATTTCCCAGGATTTCCTCTAACTTGTGAAACTGGAATAAAGTTGGCTGTGACACAGTACACTTTTATCCTGGTTTAACAGTAATGTTCAGTTTTGGGTCACCCACAGATGAAGGAACAAAGGAACTGGAGGAAGCCATTCAACCCCTAACCTCTCATCATTCAATTTGATAATTGCTTGACTATATTTTAACTTCACCTACTCATCTGTTGGTTCAATTGCAATAAATTCCATCGTCTCATAAAAGTCTGACAATCTTGAGTTTGATTTTTATTTTAATTAGATGACTTTTTATAGGGGAGAGAATTCCAATTTCCCCTTTGTGCAATAAAATGCTTCCTGACATCACCCTGGTTCTCAATTTAAATATCCCCTCATTAACCTGTTCAGAGATGCTATTGTTTGTCTCTGGAGCAGGTGGGACTTGAAACTGGGTCTCCAGGCTCAAAGGTAGGGCCACTGGCACTGTGCCACAAGAGTCCATGGGCTCTTACCTAAATGTTACATGCCCCTCCCTGCCACAGTATTTTCTTCATAGGCTTTAATCATCTTAAACACCTTGATGGGATCACCCCTTCACCTTCTGTATGAGGGAATACAGACCAAGTACACACAATCTGTCCTTAATTTAAGACAACAAGGTGCAGGGCTGGATGAACACAGCAGGCCAAGCAGCATCGTAGGAGCAGAAGCCTCTTCTAAGGATGCCTAACCTGAAGAAGTTACCCTCCTCCCTCCGGAGCCTCTCTGCTCCTATGATGCTGCTTGGCCTGCTGTGTTCATCCAGCCCTGCACCTTGCTGTCTCGGATTCTCCAGCATCTGCAGTTCCTACTATCTCTGTCCTTAATTTAACCCTTTTACCTCTGGTGTTACCCTGGTGAATGTGCATCGCACCTTACCCCAAGGTCAGATTCTCCCACCTGAAAGAACCCAAGCCAGGGATGACTCCAGTGGGATCTGACTTCATTTAATGGCAGTGTATCTACTGTGCATTTGTATTCCTGCAGACTAGAGACAATGACTAATATTCTATTAACCTTTCTCAATGGTTTATAATCTACCCACTGGAGATTACTGATTAACAAGGACAAGAAAAGCCAGGGAAACTCAGTGAGTGTGGCACAATCTGTAAAGAGAAAGAAAAGGAACATTTCAGAACCAATGAAGGATGGAAATGGAAGAGTTTTAAACTGGGAATGGGAACATGAAGACCAAAGGAGCAGCTCTGTGATTGTGCCCAAATGAGGCGGGAATTCCTCCATAAAAAAAAAAGTCTGAACATAATGTGAAAGGAGAAAGGAAGAAATTGTATAAAGACCAATCCACAAAACAGAGAAAGAAGTCAGAGATCTACACAGAACAATTGGTTGTGATCTAAAGTTGTTGAACCCAGCCTTGTGTAACACTGGAACACTGCAGCTGGCTGTGGACACAGAGGTCAGAGAGTGACCGCAAAGTGGAGGATTAAGGTGACAAACCTCCAGAAGCTCAGGGGTGATGCCTACGAG